CACCCCATCTTGTCGATCTGAGTGTGAGAATTATTGGAAAAAAATCTCGTTTGAACCGATCTGAGAGGTGCTGCAAATCAGCGATGGTCGTGCATTCATGGTACGTGAGCGCGTACTAGTCGACCTTCACCTACACAGCTACACAATGTTCGATGTAGTCTTTTGGGCCGGTCGCACTATTTGAGAGGACTCATTCAATGTAACCCATCTCGCGAAAGCTTCTGTTCCGAGTACGTCCTTGGTCCCGAAGCTCCTCCCAAATGTCCTTCGAGAGACATCCGGCCCGGACGAGGGTTGGCAATTTTAAGCGGGAAATGGCTGCCGGGAGCCGCGTGAAATGCAGGTCAACTCGGGGTTCGCTCCGAGTTCATTTGTTCATGACAAGAAAGAAGCTCTTCAATGAAGCGATCGACTTCCACTTTTTTTTCGACATGTAGCCTCGTGTCAGCTGCGGAATGGCCAGTCAGAAGCGTTCGAGTCGACTCGATGGTGGATAGGATTTAATATTGTAGAATAAGCTCAAGGCCATCTAGGGAAGGTTCGGGGGAAAACACAAGTTTCTCGCGGAAAGTCACAGATAATTCCATCTTGATTGACCGTGGCTCTCTGAGAGCGGTGGTGCCGTCATTCTCGATTGATCGGAGCTGATTCACAAGGAAACCGCAGCCGCAGTCTCCGAGTCCGCGGTGTATATAGCCAGTCGGTCGGTTCGTTAGTCTCCGGCTCGATTGTCTTTTACAATCACCGGAAAGCCGTGTTTGACGCCAGCGGAGTCATTACTGGTGACTTCGAGGGGAACGTCTCAATACAAGCGAGAAAGTTTACAATTTCGGCTGCCTCGGTGTCTGAGCAAAACCGATGCATGTCTGCGAATGGGTCGGAACGCGTCCAGTGAGGAGCAGCGACGCGCCTCTGGGTGTGGATGCTCCGACCGAAACGTCGGACCCTTTCAGAAATGACGCTGCTTCAAGCGCTAACGGATGACCTCCTCGATAGGGACCTTCAGTTCACGCTCGCCCGAGTCCCCCGTCTAGGCAAGTTCCGTGGTCTTGCAAAGTTCACTGATCTTCAGAAAAAACGGGCGACCTATGGACCATTACTTATCACGAGAGCTCGGGCCGGGTGTGGCGTCTTCGACGCTTCGCCTTCGACGATTCCGTCCGACGATGCGGGGAATCCCATTCGAAAGATATACCTCCGAAGACGACCAACACTGGCGACAATTATCGAGCTCTGTTCGCTCCTTCTTTACCTATTCGATTATTCCCTTCGCTTTGTCGGTCGGATCCCCGACCGGAATAGAATCGGGATCCCTAATCGGCGTTGTTCTCCCCCGATCGCTTCGAAACGGAGCTTCGAGAAAGGCACCGCGGTCGACCATGATAGGGATTCCTTGTTTCCGAGATACAGAAAACGAACGCGCCATAGAAGTCTTCAAGAATGGACGCAGTTCTGCTTAGGAGTCCCCGCTGCTCGCAGAAGAAGCAGAAAAAAAAGCTTTCTTCGGCCCACAGGGGTCGATTGCTACGGGAGGATATCGCCTTCCCTCGTCGGGCTATTGTGCCTGGCTTAGAGGGGTGCGTCGCTCGTCGGCATAATGCCTCCTCGGCTGGCTCCATTCTAGTTCGGGCGGACGCGCGGTCATTCGTATGCCTGACTCGCTCACTGTCACCCCCGGTCGAGAAACCCGACCGGAAACACGGACGGCCTCAAGGTGAATGAGAGACCCGTCGACGCTCCCACGAAAGGCTTAACATTGATTTCGGCACCTGATCCTCGCAGCTGGCGAGAATACTCTGACCGCTCGTCCGGTTGGCCTGTCGGTCGACGAGTTGCTCGGAAATCAGAGTAGAACAGTCGCGATGAATCTCGTACTATCCACTCAGAGAGACTCAATACTTCGCGTGTTTCTGAAGTTTGGCTTCTGCTGTATGGAATCGCTCTCAAGCGGGAAATTTTCTCTGGGTCTGGACGAAGTTGCTCTATATCGTCGTTGCACTAGCTATATGCCCCATGGATATACTCAGAAATCAGCTCCACGCTCGGGAAAGAGCTGGGGAAAATTCCTTCCTCAATTCATAGGAAACCGTGAGGGCTCCACCGGTCCTTTATTCATCGGTTCGCCTGTGATTTTTCTGAATGAGCATTCGTGACCGAGCTCGAGAGTTTCTCTCAGGGTAATAGTCAAATCATCGCCGTCGAACCGTTTTTGTCCGTAGCGCTTTGTGAGCCCACGCCTGTTTTCGTAGTAGAAATACGGCGTAGTATCGTGGGACGCTCCATTGAAGTCTACGGCCATTCTTAGCTGACTTCGGCTGCCGCGGCGACCGGCACGTATTTGGTCACTGACGTACACGAAGCCGAAGAAGCGGTGTAACGCAGAAACGGCGACGGGCTTAACGTGGGTGGAAAAGAGGGAGAGGCTGTGCTCCGTCGGCTCATAACCGACCATTCGGTCAATGAGCGCGGCAGACCTATCGTGTTTGTTTCCTTGTCAGGACTTGAAACGGCGTTTGCGATGCGCCGGGAACTTCGTCAGAGTTCTAAAAGGCGAACCCTTCGGGAATATCGATTTTTCTCGCCCTTTCCCTTTTTTCGAGCCTGGACAATCCGACTCCGCGGACGCTCATCGCCGTAGATGAAAGAATTACAATTTTCGAATCCAAGTCATCCGCTAGCAACTCTCGCCTGTCATGTCCTGAAGCCGGCGCGTCGGACACTCTGATAGAGGACGGGAAGTAATTCTATGTTACTGCCACCAGCCGGAAGGTCTTCTAGTCTAGACGGGAATGTTATCCAGGAGAAATGATGAAGCAGTTTACTTCGGAATCTACTCCAGGGGCACCAGAATCCAGGGACTTCGACTCGTCGTAAACGACGGGCAACTTCGGAATTCTTCGGACTGATTGGACTGGGAACTGAATATTTCTCTTCAGAACCACGGACACTTATGAGATGGGTAGACTTCCCTGGAAGGGATGCGCTCAGTGGGCCGACATGATTTCGACGATGACGGGATACTGTCGTATTGATGATGATTCATTTTTGATATCAAATACGTAAGAATCGGGGATCGTGTCCTGCGCCGCGGGACGCCTTGAACCGACAAGTTTACAAGGGTGATTCTCGCATGGCTCGATGCCATCTTCGAGCTCGCCTAGGGCTGTAGAACCAACGAGTTAACGAATTACCAAATCCAGCTTTCTCGGATTCGATGCGAGGATGTCAAGGGTATTTTGAAGAACTGCGCAATGTTCTGCAGACTCTTCATGTTAGGGCTCAGATCGCTCGGTAGAAACGTGGGTCAAACTTGCATGACACCTCAAGACTTTCACAAGAAGCATTCACGCTTTTTCAAATGCATCTTCGTTAACAACAGTTAGACTATTCCGCTTAGGCTCGTTACATCATCATGACAATGAGACAGAGGGGTATCTATGGTTTCGCCAGCCTCATTCTGCTTTCCGCCCACGCTGATGTCTCCTTCCAGAAGTGACACGATGTCTTGTCCCTCGGCCGGGTCATTTGATCAGGAGGGTCTTCTGAGGAGCAGAAAGCTCCTTCCGAGAAGAAGGTTATTTCTGTCAATCTCTTCGCTGACGATTTCTCCTGTGATCAGACTCGGATCAAGTCGATGAGATCACATCACACCCACGTACGTATGTGCAACACCCTCCCCGAACAGAATTCAAGAGAAATCAGTCAAGTGGGAGAAAATGGTCCTCGGCTCGAGGTTTCACTCTTCATCGGGTCCGCGTCGGAGTCATTCTCCGCTGCGAGGTAGATCACTAAAAGTCTGATAGATCAGTGCTCCGCATGCTCTGGACCTCCGCGGCTCTCCTGGACGAGCGAAATAACGCCACGGCCCCCTAGTCAAGTCATCCGGGATGCTTCCCTCCGACTTCGAGTTTCGAACGTACGAAGCCTGGGGGAATGCTTTTCTCTAATCCCCTCCGGAAAATAATATTCTATTCGATAAAATGCGGGAATGGGAAGGCTGTGGAATGGCATCGAGCTAAACTTGGAATATCCGGTGAAGTTCACTGTATAAACTTCTCGCCACAATCGTCAGCTCGACACGTCCCATCATAAGCCTGCAACCAAGTGACAGAATACCCTGAGGGAACCCCGACTTCCACCGGTGAGCATTGCATTATTCATTCCGAGATCGTTGTCTTCCTACGGCGGCTCTTCGAGAACTTCCCTCGCATTGGTGCGAGTGTTTCCTTGGAATCTCCAAGACAACGTCGTGCATGACCCTTCCCTAGGTTTTTCAGAGGGACTCATGACTCCGCCGACTACGGTTATAGCTCTGACGGAGGTCGCTCAGAAATATCAAGTTGAAGGGGAGGAAGAAAAGCCGACCTCAAAGGCCAAGATGATCGTAGGTCACACTCTCATCATAGGGGTTGTAATCCTCCTGCTGACATTCCTTGTGCGCACGTCGCTCGCCGAGATGAACGGTAACATTGTCTCCAACCGTGTGAACAACGCCATCACGAAAAATCGCGCCGAAGGAACTCTCATGCACTCGATTGCGAAGAGATCACCGAACGAGGATTCAACCGAGAAACCGAAGAAGGAAAAGAAAACGAAATCTTCAACAACTCCAAAACCGAACAGCGGAAATCGTGCCGAATCTCTGGTGCTGACGGTCTGCGGGATGCTTGCCGTGACTCTGATCATGTCGCGCATATGAAAAAGTACGTTCCTTGAATTCTCAATCTCATGAAGCTGATGCAATTTTGCACTAGCAAGCGATGAACTACAAGCTTACCGCGAGTTGCTGTCCGTGTGTTATTCAAGGAGACGACATCCGCGTAGCATAGGACGATGCGTCACGATGATTTCCCATTTTTCACTCTTTCGAGTATTCGTCGGTAGTGGGAAGGTTTACTGCTATCGGAAGTTTTGATCCTATGATTATTAATAAAATAAACCGTTCCTAAATTATTCAGAGCATTTGTGCATTTATTTTCCTCGAGCCGTCGTTACAACCTCTACATAGCGAGAACTGTCCAATAGCCGATGTTGAAAAGGAGGAAAGCGAGGGGAAATAAAAATCTGCAGATGCGGTCAATCCTATTCGCGATATCTCTGCTCGTGAGAGGCATTTTCACTATCGAATGGGATCTGCAAGAACACGATGGGTCATTGGAGCAGAGTTCTTGTAGAGAGTCTCCTTGTTCGGGCCTGGCCCGAATGAAAATTGAATTACATTTCCGAAAAATATTTCGAGTTTTCCTTCTTTTGAGCTTTCTGAAACTAGGGTCGCACCTCTCCATGGAAACGGGATTGGGACTCGGAGGTGGGATTTCGAGGTCAGGAGGGAACTTAAAGAGGCTCCCCCCTCGCGAGGGAGAATGAGGAGGCTTCATTGGGTCCATTCCCATTTGCTTCGCTCGTCGTTTCGATATCGGCTCTCCAACTGGCTTGACGCTCTGGAAAAGACTACACGTTCGTACCGGAAGACAAGGACAACAGGGACTTCCTCGGGAATCTCTATCAGCCCACGCCGATTTGTTGAGCGTCATGAGAAACTGGATAGTAACTCAGGGTGCTAAAAGAGAGTCTAGGCGAGTCTCTCGTGGAAGGAAAACACGGCTCGAAGTTTTATCGATTCACCTCCGGGCTGTTGGGATAAATAGACGACGCCAAGGAAACACAGGAATCGATGCGACGAAGGCCACCTTGCCGTACGCGCTTGTCGCTATTGTATACGTAGTTCACGATGGCGTATTCGATGAGCACGAGAAAAATGAAAGCTGGAAAATTAGGAAGAGATGCCTCACTCGCTCGGACTTTCTCTGCCGTGAATATCAAAATTACTCTGGGACTATCGCTAGCAAGGAAGGGGACCGGACAGGGGCCGAGCTCACAGAGACACACTCAGGGACGAGCGGTCTCCTCAAGATGAGCCCACGAATTGCAAAAGCGAGATTTCCGCCAGAAGTTCCTCACCTGTGCAGACGAGAAGCCAGACGTCCAAAGCGTGGACATAAGGAACTTTCGGAAGTTTTTCGCGGATCGATTTCCCAGATGTAACCATCGTGAGCATACTCGTTATTGAGAGAGATATCCGCGCCGGAGCCGAAGTGATCTACAATATCGAATTTCTCCGACTGAGTTCTTCGGCAGAAGGTCCCCGACCTCCGAACTACTAAGCTCGATCATGAGCGGCGGAATGACCGGAAGCACGGCCGCGGAACTAGGTACCTCCATCCACAAGGAGATCCAAGAGGTTATGACGAAAAGGACTCCAGGGATGTAAATATCCAAGAGGAATGGTCCGAACTGCCTGGCCAACACGAACTCCGACGTCACGATTGAGAAATTCCCTGGGGGAGATAGAAGAAAAACTTGGAACTAAGTATCAGGCAAGGCAATAGGAGGACGGGAATTCCCGGAACCCCACGATAGCGATGATTGATAGTTGCTCGCGATTCCGTGTCGCTCACCCACTAAGCGATGGTTGATCCCTTCGTAGGTCGAGTAGTTCTGAACTAAGAAACCCTTAGCATGTGACGGGTCCGCTAGCAATAAGCCCGGCCGTTCTGACCATTGAATCCTGAGGTGCGATATGGGTAGAGAGCCTGAGGAGGAATCGACCCCTCAGCAGAATTCGACGAAAAGACGGTGAGCTTCATTAGCGTCAAGAAGTGAATATCGATTAATCCTTTTCATCCAGACAATCGGATGAATACTGCTCCCGGATTAGGGCCCCGAACATAGGATGGAATGATGATCGGCTTTTCACGGATAGTTTTCGGAAAATGGGACTCCGCGGCTTGTCCACACAGATATCGCGTAAAAGGGACAGATTTCTTCTAAGTGGACTATCGACAAGACAGAAATCTCGCCTCCAAGCCCAGGGAGAGCTGGCTATTATGCTCGCAAAGTTAATATTCGAGTGCGGTGAATGAATCAGACTGCTTGAGATGAGCCGGATGAATTATGAAGGGAGCTATGCGCCGAAAAGGATCCGTACGCCAGGCTCTGTTCCCCGGAGCTTCGTTCCTACCCCGGACCCCTTCCACAGTAAGTAGATGCCATAGGTAGGGTTTGGACACATCTTCGTCTTATCTGGCAGCAGTCTCCCTGATTTGAACGCGAGATTCGGATTACTCACTGCTCTCGATCGACATTCCGCACTTTTGCTTGTCTAGCGGATATTTTGACAGTTCCATCTCGCAGCGCAACTTCAGATGGGCTCGTTTCGAGAGAACGACTTCGCCTGCAAGAAAATCGATATCGAAATCAATGAAGATGTTCCGCGCGTGGTACCGCTTCGAGGGCCCTGGAACTCACCTGTCGGTGTCACGAGTAAGTGAATACTTCCCGGGGTTAGATCTATGAGCGAGGCGTACTGCCTGTCGTTTGCCACGTGGATATTCGGAAGCCAGATCTGAATAGGGCGGACAACGTCAATCAGTTCACTCTAAATAGTGTAGGAATCCTCATATGTCTGAGCTGGAAACGTGTCGCAGCAATAATTCGTCTTGGAATTACCGCCGTCTCAGTATAGCCATGAGGCTCAGCGAAAAAAAATCAGGAGCAAACCTCATTCGCGTGCCAATGATCCCCCTGGATCGGGAAATTGAGGAGAACTCCAGGCTTGTATTCCAATCGATCGTCCCTCCAACGCAGAGTGAACTCCACATCCGACTCGTATTCCTGAGGAAATGGACGCAGCGCTATTTGGATGTTGAATGAACCGTTGAAATCTCCCACGAATCTTCGAGGGAAGGCTTTCAAGTCTGTTGATTCTCTTCGTCCAAGCGGTGGAATACAGGTTCACCAACCGAATGACGGGAAAGATATCCAGGACAAAATGGGAGAATAAGGTCATTCATTGCGCGGGGAGTCGAGTTTCCGTTGAGCGGAATCTCGATGCACCGTGCGGGGGTTCTAATGGTGAGCTAGAACCCAGAAGGCTCCTATTTAAGCCATGGATTTACTCACAGTATGAACGTCGTCCATCCCGTCCATGCGTTGTATCACAGCATTGATTCTCACTAGGATTGGAAGACCTGTCGAAATGTTCCAGGAGAAGATGAGCACGTGTTTCCCGCCGTCGTGTCACGCTGAATTGCAAAGAGGGGAACATGACGGTGTGTTTGGACACCGGGGTACGCTCACCTATGATATAGGATGGTCGTGTTCGTTTATTATAAATAGCTGGATTCGTGAGATTGATGAAGAGTTTGTCCTGCAGCTCCAAGAGTCCGCAACATCTGGAGGGGAAAACACAGCAATTAACCTCATTTCAGTCCCGGCGCGGATCCCGGGCGCGATTCCTGCAAATTCGATGTGGTTCCACTCACTTATCAAGGAGAATGATGAGGAAAGCAATCGGGGGGAGTTTCATCATATCACTGCTCAGAGCCCTGGCAAAAGGTAAATAATGATCGCTTCCATAGACGACGCCTAAAGATCTTTGGCTTTTATCAAACCTGTAAAACAGTGAAACGCACGATTCAAGTGCCGTATAGATGTTATCAGCTCGGAGACAAGTGGATCACGATTTATGGCTCTTGAATCTTCTAAAACGCTTTGAACTTCATTTGCCGATCCCGCGTCGATCGCTGTCACACCGGTCTTGTACCGCTCCGAAGAAGGCAGTGCACCCAATGAAGCTAACCATCGAGGAGTATGCTGCGAAACGATTCCCCGAATGACTTCCTGACTCCTCTCTCTACTTCTTAAAGTAGGAAGTCAATCCAGAGGTCACAAGCAGGAAGTCAGGAGGTCCAGTAGGTCGCGCAGTACGCGCGTCACTAGGTCCCTTGATAAAACTCAGAATATTCACCGGTCGCAGCTCGGCAAGCCGAAAGAAAAGTCGGTTCATCCGTCCAATATATGGCACCGGGAAGGGTGTAGGGGAGAGGAGCCGGAAATTAAGGAAGCCGCATTGACTCACTGGTTCTAGATAGTCGAGTTTGCAAAACTATACTTTTCCCTGAATCGAGCTTCAAGGTCTTCCAAGGAAAGATGCCCTCTCTTTTGACTGACGCATGATGACGATGAAGAAATTTCAACACAGAAGCGAGGCTGAAAAAAGGGGGAGAATCTCTAACGCGGACTCAGGTATCCCTTGAGCAGGCAAGGAGCCGCGAAATCAGCTCTGAATTTGGGCTTGCTGTTCATCGCGTCGACTTCTGTGGGGCACGATACAGTTTATGAATATACAATCTCCTCGCCCTCTCCTCTTGCTCCGAGCATTACATTTGGCACTCGGGAGTTGGAGGAAGTCGGATCTGAGTTCAAGCTGAAGATTATCTCTCCGGGATCAGTCTTTACTGGCTCCGTCATGAATCGACGTTCGAATCCTCCACGTTGAGCTCCGTCACGCTTAGCAGCCCGGCTCTGAAATGCTTGAATCGAGAAAGGTCTTTGTTGCCGAGGTTTCCGATGGGGGAAGCCCCTTACCCTCTACGGCAGGATAGCCCAGAGTCCGTTCACGATGTCTGAAGGAATGCTTCACCGACGGATCCCCGAATCTTGTAGGAAATGTAGTCCAGTCGAGAACTTCGACATTCCCGGAAGGAGTCGCTCTTACTCTTCATGCTAGATCGAGGTCGGAGCGCGGTCCCCGTCAGAACCACTTCCGGATGAGCTCATCTACCGAACGCCTCCTCCTTCCCCGCTTGGAGAGATCTGCGGGCCATTCCTGACAACAGCGCTATGTCCGGATCCCATCCCCATTATTTTTTTTCAATTACGCCGAAGTCGAAGAACACGCCCTTCCTGTAGAAAGCGGCGGGCTTCGGTCCGAGCCCAATTCGAAGGAGGTGTGAATTTTCTGTAACTCTCTCCTCGATCGAAATCATTGATGAATAATATACGATTGAATGTTTCGTAATCCGAAGGGCAATTCATTTGCGTTTTCGACCGCGCCGCCAACGCTGCAGCTTTTGCTCCTGCCATCGACTGCGCTTGAGCCGAAGGCAGCGCTACTCGATGATCACAAGGCGCGAAGTTGACTCCGAAACAATTTAACCGCACCCTTAGAACAGAAATTCTGCAAATTGTCGCCAAGCGGAGTGAGAAGGCATGCTCAGCGCTTCCGTGTGGCAGACAATTCCACAAAACGCAGGAGAATGTCTTGCGTGCTTGGCATGTCGATGATTCTCGATCGAATTGCTCAACCCATCCGGGATGGATCGCAAGATGGTTGGCTGAGCTTACCCATGCCCGTTTTCTCCGAGGCATACCGAGGGATGAGACGAGTTTGCAAAGAAGACGAGGTGCATAAGTGAAATCTTGCGCTGTCTGGCTCCGGCAATCGCGGTTTCTCAATCCCTGAGGAATCGTGCCTTATGACTCTTCCAGGAGGTTTCCGGTTGCATTCGAAATGACGCCTGATCATCACGCATCATACATCCATGCGGATGTACGTACGTTTTCTTCTGGGCTACTCTCCTCGAAACACCGAAGTGTGCTACCGATCGCCGCCAGCGATCGATTTTCTTATTCAGAGAATGTGCAGAGTATCCAGCCGGAGCCATGCTGAGCTCACTTGGACTCTCGCTCCATGGATTGGTGATTCCCAAAGAGCTGGTGACAGTTCAGCGAGAGCCCCTCGCGGATGAGGTCAAGATCCCACTTTGACGGAGCGAGAGCACGGAAAGCGGCTAAAAAGTCCCGGAAGCCTGACTCCGACGTTTAGTTTATTGCATAAGAGCGTACAGGAAATTGGTCAAGTACGACGAGTAATCGATATATCATGTATATCTCAGAGTATGATTTCGTTTTTGTACGATTGGTTCAGGTCCTTATGCGGCAGTACGATGGAATTGATGAGGACCGCTTCCGATGGCACTGTGACATTGCTCCCGAGAACTGTGATGGACGGGTTCAGACGACCGTCCCCGTTGAACAGGGGGGTATTTTCCATTTTTGAGAATGCTTTGTTCGGGTTCGGATCGCAAGGAGTTCCTTCAACCTGCAATTAGCACATGCGCTGAGAGCTGTCCTTCCTCAAGGGCGAGACTAGGGAAAAAACGGTCGATCTCTTGAGGGAGAGAACTCCACCAATATCCTGTCCACTCACCCTGCTCCACGAACCGATATCGGAATTCCATCCGACGATGCAGTTTTTCACAAGACTGTGATCTCCGATGGTAGCTTTTCCCAGAACCAGGCTCTCAGCGATTCGGACACCTCTACCAACCCTGACGTCGGCGCTAATTGACACGTTGGGTCCGATAACGGCGCTTGGATCGATTGCGGCCCTGGGATGGATTAGAACATCCCCTGGAAACGGAACCGAACGGAAGAAGTCGAATCGATCGGTGTGAGGCCGTTAGCGAATCGATGAAGCGCTAATCTAATGAGTCAAGATTTACCAACCGATGACTTTCGGTCCTCCCAGCCCCGGCTTCGCGAGTTTCCCTGAATCCCTGAGGCGGTACAGTTCCAAATAATGTCTGTTGGCATAGATCGCGGAACCTGCCGTCTTGATCTGCGACCAGAAACGGTCCGTGAGGAAAACATGGGAACGAGCTCCCGAGCCAGCCAATTTCACGAGCACATCATATTCAAGAGAAAGTGATTCGGCTTCATCGATGCTTCCTGTGGTATATCCATGAGGTTGATGTTGCTTGGCTTTATACTCGGCTCCGAGGTGCTTGAATAATTCTGTCGAGCACACGTATCTGAAAGGCAAATCAATTGGTACCGAAAGGATACTCCATCTGCTCGATTCATCGAGGATTCTGTGAAGACTTATCCGGACGAGAGCCCCACGATTGGCGGAAGGCAATCACTGGACGTCACAGACAACTCAGACCCCGCCGATCAACAGGAAGATTGCGGACGGGACTCACACTCCACAGTTGATAGAATTAGAGACGAATGTTGATGGCTTCTCGACATAATGTAGAATTTCCTTCCGGTCCTTATCGAAGGCTATGCATCCATAATTGACACTCTGCTGACGGGTTGCTTCTGTCCCCAGAACGGTTATGATGTTGGAGCTGGGCTGACGGAGATGAAAGTCGACCTGTAAAGGAAATGTGCCGAGGGAATCTGGGGATGTCGGACCGATGGAGAATCCGAGGGATTGATTTCCGAATTATTGAGCCTACCAATTCATCCAGAGGAAAGTCCCCGCAGACGTCTCCGTTGATTAGAATGAAAGCCTCAGGGTCGCCGGAGCAGATTTGGTCCCGAAAATGAAAAATACCTGGGGGAAGAGGGCTCAACTCAGGAGACTGATACACCCATCTATTTACATGACTCTCATTCGATCATTGAGAAGCACTTGGATCGGTTCGATGTTCGAAATAGTAGCAGTAATTTACCTCCGGCAGTTCCAAGAGCTGCGAATTCCTGCAGATACCTTATAGAGATATTCAAGGTCTTCGCGAGGTCTTGAGCGAAGGGAGCGATCTGTTCGCTGGGATAGAATCCGATGAGGACAATCTCCTTCATTCCTGAGCAAGAAAAGTAATTACATGAATGGCTTGATTATTGAATAGGGGAGTTTCTCCTCTCTGATGGCTGAGTTCGAATAGAGATTCAGGCATGAAATTGATTCCGGTAGCTCAGGTTCCACATACCTTTGACTGCTGAGCAGGCCTCTATGAGATGTTGCACCATCGGCACCCCGGCCACAGGGAAAAGAGGTTTCGGGAGATCGAAGGAGAGGGGGCGGAAGCGGGTTCCCTTCTGAGGACCGCCGATAAGTATCACGGCCTTCAGCATCTATAAGCGAGAATAGGAGGTTCCAGCGTGACCATCCGGACGCATCATTGTACTAAAAAATAATGGGCTCGACACTGGTATGTTCCGATTAGCGCCGACGCAGACACCGTCCTGCAATCATCGACCGGCTTCACCGCCCGGGGAGAATCATGAGCCAAGAGATCTACAGAGATGGAACGTTTGTCACGGCTCGCGTACCGCAAGCGCTCGAGCGCCAACAACAGCTGATCCGGAAACTTCTGTCGGAGCCGTTCTCGTGTCCTCTCGACGGTCGACCGCGTGAACATGCTTCTTGATAATATCAGCATCATAGCTCCTCCCTCCATTGTTGCAATTAAGGAGGAGTCCGGAGACTAGGATTTCCCGAGTTCGAGCCGATATGCTGGACTTCTTCCAGCTGATCAGCCGCACACCAGGAGAGGGAGCGCAGCATCACGTTCCAAGATTCAAGGCCATACTTCAATTCCAATAGGAGCAGAAGAAATCTCATGCGAACTCACCGTGAGCTCTGCAAACGGTCGAACTATCGAATTCTTAGGGAAGAAACACTCTTTCGAGTAGGATCAATCCAGAAAAGCATTCACACAACTCGGTTTGGCTCTCTCTTGACAGGTGGCAGTGGCTCGACCAGATCCCTTCCTGCGCCCGGAGGCGCAGAAGGTGTCTCTGAGAGCGATCAGGAAACAGTAAGTTTCTGTGATGAGGGAAACGAGGTTCGCTGATAGACATTCATCCGAGAACCCGGAGGCGATCTCTCAAACATATACCGCGACAGGGGCGTTGGAAAGGTCGTCTCAGCGAATTCCATAGTCGATTTCCGGGTGGCGGTGCCGATCACAACACACGTGTCTGACTCTGCTGTCGTGGAGCTCGGAGCGAACCGCCCGCATCCCAGATACTCGGCGATCGTTTGCTTTTGGTTCAGGGGACACGGCCGAAGGCTAGGATTTCCGAGCGGTGGTCTTTCCGGGTGGTGGTGGACTTGGCCGCGGATCGTGGAGGAGGCTAGCAGGCGTCATCGGCGGAGGGGCAACAGGCTCAGCCGCCGCCGCTTCGACCTGCTAGAGAGGCGCGAAATTTCGATTGCCGATTGCAGTAGGCCTTGGCGATGTAGTGGAGTGACGGAGCAGGCTTCCCTCATAGACTTCTCCAATTGGCTGAACCTCTGGAATACATCATGAGCAAAGAGTCCGATTCCGACCCTCAGAGAATCCCAGACAGCATCGATCTCTAGAGGGAGGAATCTCGCCGACCGAGATTCGGGACCTTCTCGCGGGTACCTAGTACCTAGGCCCACGTCAGGCCCTGGATGATTGCCCCCGCGATACGGATTAGGCGGCCAAGCTCGTGCATCATGGAATACTCAAGTATGGTGGTCATAAAAATGCGATTTAGTAGGATATCCCTTATATGTTTAAGATATTCTTCATATTATATCATTACATTATACCATCTTCACTGACTGCCGGCTTCACCGAAAGCTTGCGCAATAAAGGAGTGTTCCGCTTCGGCCGGGAGTAGACTATATGTGTGATCATTGCCAACGGTTCTTATCATTCGAGCAACGGGATCTTGATGACCGACGGTTCCTTCCGATAACCAACGCTCCCATTCCTCGTCCTCCAATGGGTCCTCGGGGAACCGGTAGGCTGCAAATGAAGGATCAAAGACACATTCATGAACTCGGAACCCGGAAATATCTGCTTCTTCGAAGTTTTCAATCTAGGAGTTTCACCCACCGCCTCCCAATCGATATTTGATTTGATCGATGGAAGTCTTCGGGGATATGCTGCCTTCATCCAAGCTGTTCCAGAGGAGTCTGACTCTCTCATCCTGGGCGCGGCTGAGGCGATCAGGCACGCATCTTATGTGCCTGATGCCCCTTCGGGCGATTGAGAGATCCGTTGGCATATCTTGCGCGATGCCGCAGAGTATAAGCTGCATAAGAAGCGGAGTCCGGGAGTATATCCTGGTGTTGAAAATAGAAAAACATAGATGGCGATGCCTCCGAGTCACCCCGCGATGACGCATCTCCAATCTCTGGAAGACCGCTCAAACATTCGCCTCGAACAACCTGTCATCGGGACGGAATCGTCCGAAATGGGTTGAGCCGTCTTCAGGAGAAGCTAGCTAGAAGTCAGCCGATCTCGGATTCTCATATCTAACTTACATCCGGGTCTCATTGGACCCCGGTTTGCGAAACAGCACGGAGTTGAGAATCAGAGCGGCTCCGCATACCACAAGTGCCGACGAAGCGCTCGGCTCGTGAGAGCCCAGCTTTTAATTATGGGGACCCGTAGTGTACGTGGGTGTGCTCATCAATCCGGTAGAAGGGGTGCCGGATCGGCGCCCTTACATAGGCTCCCCTCTCTCATAGACAATAGTATAAGTAACAACCTTTTTCAATCAATAAACACACTGTCTCGTGGAAACTCTACCCGAGTGCTTCTTCGATTCTTCACGAGTGTGGTGGCTGAGCCTCAGATTCGCCTTGGTGACGCTGAGCGACAGCGGAGACGACCCTACTGCCTTCTACCCTATCTCACTAACCAATCTTGTGTGCCAGTACAAGCTTTCCAATTCCCTGCTTACCACGTTATCACCACTTTACTCGTTCATCAAGGTGAGAAAAAAAAGTTCAGCAAAACCTCCATACTCACCTACGGTCGGGTAAGTTCCCAGTAGGAAGAATCTAGAAACCGCAACAGTGTCATCAATACCGCAGTATTTTGTCGATGAATAGCTCGATCGTTAGCGACGGCTACTTTGTATTGGAGGACTCATTCAATTCGGTTTCCCATCTTAGTAATACAACCGCACTATCAACCGAATCCAAAATGCTTAGAGGTGAATCTACCAACACCCAAGCATCGAAGATGCCGAATTTCTCGGCCTTCAAACTCGAATCATCTGGTAAAAACTATCAAGTGTGGAAGAAAATCATGAATGTTCTGCTGTCCCAGGAGACAGACTGCTGGGACGTCGTCTGTGGGCGAATTCCCATAGCAGACAACCGTTTCGAAAAAGCCAATACCACAGCGAGAGGAATCATTCTGAACTCCCTCGATTTCACTCTCATGATGCTAAAATTCCCACTTGATGTTTCGACCATGACTGCAGCCGATGTTTACAATGATATCGTAAGAGAATTCGAAACAATGAATGGCACACGATTGAACGCTGCCATGAGTAAAATATTCCAATTCCAATTCGATTCTACAAAAACCCCGCAAACAATGTCAATTAGCTTCCGCAAACTCCAGCAAGAGGTGATCTCACTTGGAGGCACCCTTGATCCGGACATGCTCATTTCTCGCCTCCTAGAAGCCCTCCCCATGTCGTGGCAATCATTCAAGCATGTTTGGGCGGTGACGCCGAAGGAATCCCAAACTCTAAGAATCTCTATGACTTGGATAGAGGTCGAGCAAACTCGGTTATCCACCGAAGCAAGATCTAATCACCCGTCATCAAGTCAGCAAGCATTCTTCTCTCAATCAAGAACCCAACCCCGTTTCAACGGACAATGGGGCTCTGACCCCAATTGGAGGAACTCCCACAATTCGACAAACTTCCAGCGTCAGGCACGCATCTGATGTGCCTGATGCCCCTTCGGGCGATTGAGAGATCCGTTGGCATATCTTGCGCGATGCCGCAGAGTGAAGCTGCATAAGAAGCGGAGTCCGGGAATATATCCTGGGAAATCGGGAGAGTCGAAATTCCGCAGAGATCGAAGCTTACACCGGAGGACCCTCACCGATCAAGTTCCAGACCTGCGCATTCGACATCGCGCTTGAGAGTGGCATTGCAGCTCTCAACTGCATTATTCGTTCTGACCGGAACTCTGAAAATCGACAGTCGATCGGCTCCGACCCGGGTAAGCCATTGATTCCGGATGTAGTCCAGGAGTGGCTGAAACTGAAGAATGGGTCACGGTGTCAGGATGCTGCTCGTTGCCAGCAGCTGCACGTATTCTGATTCTATAGCACAGA